TGGGAGATTCCGGTGAAATATGCATTTTGATTCAAGAACTGAAGATACAGAGTCAAAGCGGGTATGCAAAAAATCTGATTGAGAACAGACATTATAACAGTGGCCAGTAAGGGACAGCAGAGCTTTCCGATTTCATCAACAGTATCCGTAACACAAACGCCTGTACACCCCTCAGTAATTTAAAATCCCCCGATAAACGCCCTTCTAACACATCTGGGCCCGCTTACTGGGGGTCTAAATATGAGCCCTGCACAGCAACTCATTCTGTCAAATATTTTATAAATAATAATTATGGCCACACACTAATTTTGATAGTCATCAATACACACACTCTTGTTATTGGAGAGGACAGACAACTTCCAAGCTAGCACCGTTTGTTGCAACCGTCATTAAATATTTTATGACCAGTGCTCCAGGTGATTAGTTAAAGAACCGGTTAACGAGAAATTTGTTTAAGATTTTTAATACTCGTGTGAGACTACCGATCCCCTTTACAGCACAGCTGAAGGATGTCGCAAGATCCCTAACTTCTTGATTTTTGTAGAACTTCATCGTCCTAGAAATTTTGACATCGACAGGCTCGGAAAGCCTGCCGAAATCAGACTGGCGCCTACTTAAATATTGTACTCAAGATACCGTATATCGAATACGTTTGGTAGTATTTCGGTATCTCGCAAATACATTAAGTGTGGAGTATTTGCTACTTTCTCTTAATTACATTTCTCAATATCTTGTCTTCAATATTTCAAATACATTTTTCAACATTCGAAAATATTTGTCGTCAAAACAATCTACGAAACTAGGGATCATCGGACTATCATGGAAAAGTTGAACCGATTGCAAACTTAGAGGCAAGCCACTGAACCCGGGGCACAAAACAAGGCACGAACAAAACGCGGTCTCCGAATGCCAACAAAAGAACATATAGATAGTCCCAAGTACGCCGGCTTTATGTGTCCCTCTTGTCCGCGTTCTTTTTTTTTTTTTTTTTTATTTCTAAGTTGTTCTTGAATTGCAAATTACGCTCGGAGCTAGCAAAGTGCTGGTAACGTCCTCGAAAATTTACACCTTTTGTATGAGCTGGAGTGGCTCCGTCAGCAGAAAGATATGACGCCAACGCTTGGTACGATAACAATGGGCCATTTTCGGAAATTGCCGGTTTAGGGGTTTCTGGTATCAAACAGCGCGAGCATGTTTCCAAGTGAGGGCAAACGTCCCCTCGGCCAAGGAAGCTAGATCATGCTGGTTTTATTGAGCTGCAGTGACCTAGATTGGGCTTCCCCAAAGCCCCTTGTGTGCCTATTGTGGCTTAACTTTGGGTCTCAAGCTCGTTCAAAAGCGTTTCTTTTACCTCCTTCCGATTGTGCAGATTGTTTCATTCTTAGAATCCTCCAACCCAGTTTTCCGGCAGGTGGAGCCAGGGATTGAAAGCGGTTTCGTAGGTACTATTGTGTTACTTGGGTTTCCCTCTTGACCTTACGAATATTTTTAGAGAGTTTGAAGGTACATGCGCTCCTCCTCGCCCTTGTCTGGGCTGTTGTCCTCTAGCCGATGTTTCTCCTGTACGTGCACATTTGCCATTCACTCGCGTACTTATCATCAAGTCTGGCTGCCTGATCAACGTTTAGTGCGGTTGTTAGGGATATGTAATGCCGCACTATGTGTCAAGTACGCCGAACTGCGTCAAGGCATACTAAGAACTTATGGCGGAATGCGCTATGAGCCGAGCCGGCCGCCAAACTAAAGCACGTCATTTGCCCCTTGTTCATAAAATCATTCGGTGTACATTATTTTGCACATCCCGAATTTTTCCGAAGTAAACTTCGATTGCAGCAGCTGAGTCGCTTCTTGAAAGTCGTAGGAGAACGTGATTTTCAGCGAAGTCATCACAAGTAGAGCACTCCCTTTTGACTTTTTTTTAAATATTATATTATCAGCTTGCAACCTACTTGACGAGTATCTTGGAATGTAATTCAATTACTCTTTGAAGTGTTTGTACTCTACCTCAATATAGTTCGTAGTAAAAGCAACTTAAATACTACTGTAAATGCATTTTCAAATGGGTATATAGTATCGTATCTTAATTACTTTCGTGGGGTATTTTGCACAAAACTGGCCGAAATGGCCAGTGTTGTGCAAAATACCCCACTTCCATGTGCACAACGCTGGCCACCGTCCAGTGATGTGCACACGGAAATCTCTTGGGGGGGAGGAGCAAGAGGCGGCTTGTGTTTCCCAACAGTAAAATGGTTTATGGGGCACCCCCCCCCCCTATAATTTTCTCGAGCTCTCGTGAAATGTAAACATCTATACTACTTTATAATATACTTTTATCTCTCCTTGATACGCGTCCTTCATAAAAAAAAATCCATGGAGAATGAACATACCTGTCCGCCTAGCGGCTACTCTAACAACTTAAAAGCTGAACCGTTCTGAGTAGATCTACACGAACTCAACTCTGTTACGTCACGGCGCGGTGGTGGCGCGTCGAGTGCACTTCTGGTCTGTGACAGTGGGCGGAAGTCACCTTGCGAGACGTGCATTCCTGCGTTGTTTTAATAATAAAAATAAATCTTTATTTTGTTTCATCGCTGAAACGGGGGACCAAGACAAAGGTCCTGGCGATTCCCAAGTAATTTCAGCAGGCGATTTTCAAGGAATTTCAGAAAACGAACAAAATAGGTACATGGAGAGAACGGACACTATTTTAAATGTACAGACCACAGAAACCAGACAAAAACCTGCCTTCTCGTCAAAACACCGCGACTTGGGTTGTACCAAAAGAGTCGAGAAAGGTTTGAAAGTCACTTTTTATGTACTTGGTTCGTCCGAAAACGTGGATATGTGCCACGAGAAGGGAAAACCAGACACCGTCGGACCACGATTGCTTGGGCGGAAATAACTTTAGGTTGAATTCCGGATACTTGTGGTCATCAGGTTTATTTTTGTTCCAACATGAACGCGGAAAAACCGTCAAGTTTTATGGACCACGTGCGGATTACGTTCAGTGCGTCTTCGAGTTAAAATGGCTACCTAATATTTGAACTGTCGTCCGCTTTTTCAAACGTTTCTTTCTGCTTGTCGTCTACTCTTCAGACGACACCGACCCGTAGACCAAACGTTGACCCGGTAATTGCGATAAGAGTAAGTGCAGGCCTCAAAAGACTTTTAATATTGAAGGTTGGTTTGGGTAAGCACGCTCGGTGTATACTGAAGATACCAGGATATGTTGACCATTGTTACCAGCGGCCATCATCGATTTATTATTCCTGACACAGTCGGTCCGATTCTTCTTGTGATTTTCAGTATCGACGTCGACCATCTAAGGTACGGTTCACGCTTTTGCAGCCCGAGCGACGTCGCGACTAAAAATTGCGAGAGGAATTTTATCCTGCGAATCGTGCTTTAGCGTCCATTCTGCGGCGTCCACGCGGCATGAATCACCGCATGTCACAGTCACGCGAAGATTTGCAGTGTAGCGAGCCTCGGTAATTTCGCTGAGGCTGCTCAAGCAGTCAGACATTGCAAGGAAGACGTAGAATTAACAATTTCAACGGGATAAAGAGCACGGACATTCATAAGACGCCGGCAATATCGCATTTCAATGGTTTGTTTATGGGCGACGGCAACCATCATGCTAACACTCCATCGCGCGTGCGCGGCGCCGGTGACGTCCGCTAGGGGCTTTCCGGTTTGTTTGTAAGCATGATATGGTCTATAGTCATCTTGATTTTGATAAAGAATAGTCATATCAGTGCTAGAAATAATATATATATAAATATCATATTAGTTTGAAGGATGATAATGGATAAACTATACTTCCCTTCAAACCCCTGCACAGTTGCACAGTACATATACAGGGCTTCTTCGTACTACACACGACGAAAGATGTGCCTAAAATGCCCATAGGTCCTTTCAGTGGTAAAAAGTGCGCAACAAGCACACGAGGTTTGGGAGAAACCCGGTCTCAAAAACCTTTTTGAACGTGTCGCCTGACACTTGCATTCAGAGCAGCCAGTACTGAGCTTTCCGTGTACCTATGTGTCTGGGGAGGTCACGTAATTTTCCTCGTCTATTCAGGAGCACGCTAAAGACCGGTGTGTACTTTAGCTTCCGGCGTTTAGAGATAATATCTTCGCATTTTGTGATCAATTACTGTCAGCATCCTAATCTGGTTGAGATGCGAAGCAACCAAATAGTTTTCTTTAAGTAATTAACGCTTTTACCAGCGACCAGAAAACTAAACGTTTGTGCTCTGCTATGCCGATAGATATAAAAATAAAACATAAAAGAAACTCGAACATAAATATGTCACGACTTAGAGTTAAACCCACGCAGCATCGTGGATAGTCACAAGAGCACCGTTGTGTGTATAGAGACAATAACATCCCCTGAGTATTGTGAAGAAATACTGCACATAATGAGATAAAACAGCGCAAACAGGTACAAAAGATAAGAAACTTGAAAGTATAAAACAGCGAGGACGAGGGCAGGAACAGGACATCTTTCATTTAGCAACAACATAGAATGAAGTTTTGTATCTATTAACCAACACGCTCATTTACAATTGTAATAATAGGTACAAAAGGAAGAGATAAACCGGACAGGACAGCGTTCTGTACTGTCCGGTTTCTATCTTTCTTTTGTACCTTTTTGCGGTATTTCATCTCATAATTTTTTTAATTTATGTATTTATTCATACTGCAGGCCATTTCAGGCCAAAGCAGGGTGGGACAGCAAGAAAAAAAAAAGAACACAACTAAACAGAGTAAACCAACAAATGTGGTACATTGGAGGTCACAAAAAAAAAGAAAGAAAGAAAAAAAAATACACAAGTTCAAAGGGAGTATAGATAACACAACAATGGGGCCACTGATAGCGTCTTGCCATAAGCCCAACAGAGCACATAAAAAATAAGGTAAGAACGCTAGTGACACGTTGTATCTTAAAATCACGACTACAACATCACTGAAAAATAACAAAAAAACCATGCGAGTTCGTTAGAAAGGCGAAAAACATGCATCAACAAATTGTTCCACGGTCGTATATGCAACAATCCCGTCAGGTAAAAGATTCCATTCATCTATAGTTCTGGAAAAGAAAGAAAACTTCAACACATTCGATGACGGTCTAAAGGGTCGAATGTGGTGCGAGTTGTTTATTCTGCTGGAGTGCTTGAAGGGAGGGACCAAATACGTGGTAGGATCGATACCGGTTTGCCTGTTCGCAATACAGTATAAAAAGTTTAGCCAAGCTAACTTACGTCGGGCGCGCAAAGGTTCTGTGTTTGACAATGACAACATCTCAGTGATAGAATCCCTCCTTTTGTACCTGCTGTACACAAATCGTAGACTCTGGTTTTCTATACGTTCGATTTTAGAAGAATCAACTTTGGTATAAGGATCCCATACTACAGTGGCGTACTCCAACATTGACCTTATTAGGGCCTTATAGGCGGTTAGTCTAGTGGATTTTGGTGCCAGCTTTAGTTTTCTTCTAATGAAACAAAGTTTTCGGAAGGCAGCTGAGCATATATTATCTACATGCAAGCTCCAGCTAAGGCCAGGAGTGAGCGTTACTCCCAGATATTTCACGGAGTCGGCTTTGGAAACAGGGGAGCTATCAAAAAGGTACTCAAAACTTTGATAGCTTTTTTTCTTAGTGAATGTGATCGCTACCGTTTTTTGTAGATTAAGTTTCATCTGCCATTTCTTGCACCATTCAGATACTGAACCCAGGGCGTTGTTGAGCATAATCCGGTCCTCGACACTCTTTACTTTCGTATACAAGGCACAATCGTCAGCAAAAAGCCTGATCTGGATTTTTTTATTGATAGCGTTCACAACGTCATTTATGTAGACAAGAAATAATAACGGGCCTACGACTGATTCCTAGGGGACACCGGAAAAAACGTCAAGGGAGGGAGAACGGGAACCTTTGATTTCAACATATTGCTTCCGGTTGTACAAATAGAACTTTATCCACTGCACCAAATCTTCCTTAATACCAGCTTTTCTTAATTTAAAAAAAAAGTAGTGCATCATGGGGAACAGTGTCGAAGGCTTTCGAAAAGTCGATGAAAACCGCGTCAGCTTGCCCTTTTTCATTAAGAATGCTTGCTAAGTCATGCACGGTGCAAACGAGCTGGGTAGTGGTAGAGCGATTACGTCGAAAACCATGCTGGAAGTCAGTGAAAAAATTGTTCCTCTCGAGGTAATCAGTAATATGCTTGTTTACAATGTGCTCAAGAAGTTTGGAAGATATGCAAGTTAAAGATATGGTTCGGTAGTTCGAAACTGAAAGCTTATCGCTCGCCTTATGGACCGGTACTACGCCTGCTCAAAGCCAGTAGACTGGAGCAAGCTTTTCTTTCAAAGACTACGTAAATATTATACACAGAAACATTGACATCCACTCAGCTTACCTCTTCATAAATGCAGCAGGAATGTCATCTAGGCCAGACGCTTTTTTACTGTCTAAATTAAGTAACATAGCAAAGAAACCTTGGGCTGTCACAGTTAGGTCAGACATGGGAATAAAAGTGCAACCTGAAGGTGCAAGGTAGTCTACTGCGTTTGTTGGTCTGGTAAAGACAGACTGAAAATATGCATTAAACTCGGTACTTATATCTTTGGAGTATCTATGACTACATTTCGTATTTTAACTTTTTCAACCACTGCACGTGAGGGAGACAGATATCGACAGACTTTTTTAGGAGAATCTCGCATAAAGGTGGGGTGAGTTTGCAAAAAAAAAAAAAAGGCTGTTCGACCCTCCACAATTTTCTTCCTTAAAGTAGAACACAGATCTTCAAAACTCGACGAGTTACAAGCCTTCCGTCGGCGGAGTCTTTCAATGCGCCTTATCAAATGGATTCCATCTCTTGATATCCAAGTATGCGGCCTGTTAATGGTTATTTTTCTTTCCGGAACAAAGCGCTCGATGCAGTAACTAACTGTGTCTCTTAACATCTGCCAAAGGAATTCTGTGTTTTGCTGAATGCATCGAATCTTGTTTCAAGAGAGTCGAGTATACTGACATCGTCCGCTCGGCCAAAATCCCGTATTAGCTTACGAGACGCAGCTTTTACTGTAGCGTCTGGGGAAAAAAAAATAGCGATACAAGATAGTGGTCTGATATGCCTTTACGTATGCTGACCTCACAGGGCATAGAACGACTCACGAAAGCTAAGTCAAGTATAGAACTTGTTGGTGTAACCCGCGTTGGCTGAGTAACAACCTGTAAAAGGTTTACGTTGGAAAGTAGGTAAAGTAAAATTGACTCTTTTTGCGTATTTGAGGTGGTTAGTCTTAAATGAGTTGAATCAATTCCGGGAGCATTGAAATCACCAAAAACAACAACTTTAGCTCTATTTCTAACTAATCCAGATAAGTAGTCGTATAACGTCTCCAAAAAAAACACCAGTTGCATTTGGAGGCCTGTAAACAACGCCAAGAACAAACACAATTTTTCCGACTTCCACTTTGCGCCACAAGCTCTCGTGGTTTCGAATTCCTTCCGAGACAGAGCAACAAACATTGTTTTTTGCAATGATAGCCACACGCCCGCCTCGGGATGAATGATCGTGTCGTATTATTTGATGAGTTGGAGGAATAAGCTCACAATCCAGAGATGCCCGAATGTAGCCATGTTTCCGTTATCGCTGTTATGTCAGCATCATATTCGTACAAAACACCCTCGATGTCAGCAAGTTTATTCAATACACTTTGCGCGTTAAGTAGAACCAAGCGACAACCTGACGACTGTCATTCATTGCGTTCTGTTGTATAGCGTTTATCATTATTTATCTGAACTCGACAATTCGGACGCTCATCCCAAACAAAATGTATCGATTTATGTGTAGTTTGTTGTAAAATAGTTGAACTTCATCGCCGTTGTCTCGATTTTTTTTCGACGAATCCCATAGCCTTTTTTCTTTTTTGCAGAATATTCCAGCAGAAGACTTCCCCCAGAAATAACCGGGAACCTTTCTGTATGGAGCAATTTTTCAGCACTTCCTGACGTTCTTTATTGCAAGCAAAGTTCATGATGACAGGCCTGATTTTCCCTTCAGCCTTTCCGCCAAGCCTGTGAATACGCTGTACCGAATCGACATCTACACCGAGGCGACTTTGGAAGAGATCGTCTACAACTGCGACTTCCAAAGATTCCCCTGACTTTTCAGGGAAACCAAACAGAATCAAGTTATTACGCCTCTCGTCGAGGTCATCCAGCTTCATTTGCTGAGTTGATGAGGATTTCTGTTGGACGATAATGGTATTTTCAAGCTGTATGACCTTTGCGTTTGTTTCCTGCATTATTTTAAACTTTTCGTCGTACTCGGCTAATTTTTTGTTTATTGAATAAATGTTATGTTCTGTCAGTGTTTGGCTACTTTACATAGAGTTTATGTCCTCCGCAATCTCGTTTTTTTCTTTTTCTAGTATCGACTTGACCATCTGTTCAAGAGTTTTCGGCTCACAAGTAGTTTGTGCCAAAATAAAATAATATTGCTTTTTAAGTCGCGGTTTTTGATCTATCCGCATAAGACTAAACACAAAACTATCATGCTTCACGTTGCACATCCGACATTCTTAACCCTTCCCATCTTCCTAAACGTCTGCTGTGTTCTAACATCAGAAACCGGCATATTAAAGGTTAAAAAAAAGACGCTGAGAATGTGGGACGCATACTTTCATGCAAAGCTGAAGGGACTCAAATCGCAAAATATTCATATTTACAATAATATTCTTATATCTTCTGGTGAAGGCTAAACAACCGTTGCCTTCATTTTCGCGCACAAATGGCGATTTGCAGAGGAAGTGTAGAACACATTGTTACAGGCTTTTTTTCAACACTATGCGCTTGCAGGCTGCGTGGTCGAGGCCTTAAAATCGAAGGTCGCGTATCGTGACTGCGCAGACTCCTACCTCTACTACCCAACCGCGTTGTCACACCTATTCTGCAAAAAGTCACTTTAAAAATTACCATAAGCACACAATTATACAGATACAATTATATATATTGTAGAATATCACCTTATTTAGTAACAACTGTGTTAATATCCATTAAAAATAAACTTTAGAAATTTTTTGGCACAAAATTACGATATATATCAACTCTTAGGTCTAGCAACAATGTATTTTTGCCGAATCTTTACAAAACTTTGGCAAAACTTCGGCTTTGCCGAGTCCCAAGATTTGGTGCCGAATTTTCGATTCGGCAAAAGTTCGGCCCATCACTACAAAAGACCCGACCGTGGATCACGAGCTCACGGCCCCTGGGGAAGGGCAAGTCGACCAGTAGAGACATCGTCTGTGTTCCCGATCAGAGAGTGTCTACCGGCGGCGACTCGCTTACTCTAAGAAAGGTATCGCCGCGAATGTTGCAGCAGCGACGACTGAGGCCCTCAGTCAACTTTCCGCAGGGAGGGTAGAAGGGGCCGGTCATTCAGGACGGTGACGACGGATGATGGTGTTCGCCCGATGGAAGTCCCCCGGAAAGTCGAATAAGAAAAAAAAACTAAAAGTTGTTCGATCCTGCTGGACACATTACAACATTGGTTGGTTTACGATGGCCAGTGTGGCCACGTTTATTTCAAAACAAAACGACAAGAAGTCAACAGTAATTTACAATACAAAACTCCCAAAATTAAAGCCCATACTTTAGTCCCCAGTCTCAAGAGCCGAATCTGCCTGATCTCAAAAGCCGAATCCCCGAGAATCCTCTCGGCAGCCATTTTCTAGACTCGTAGGGGCCTCCTTTCCCTCCAGAGACGGGCCAATCACTTCAAATTCGCCCATTGTCACGTGTTACACTCTTACCCAATGATCAGCGAGCTCTCAACGTGACCCCCCTCCGACACTTCAACGGTCACACCCAAATTCTCTGTAGAGTCACCACATGCTTTCTCAGCCGTCTGGCTGGTGCCACCAAGTTAAGTTATTGCGTCGACTAAATGCGAAGTTTTCTACACTAAGCGGCGAAATACGCCAGACACAAGCACACCCGCTTAAAAGCCACAAGTGCGGACAGAAGCCCAAGACAGGGGAATTCCGGCGCCCCAACTTAAACCCAATCCGTTTGTTAACGACCGGGGTCCGACTCATCTCATCCAAGCCCCGCGGCTGCTCGAAGCCCCCCCGCGCGTGGGGGCGGAAGACGCCCAAAAATGGAGACGCAGACATAGGCAGATAAAAAAAAAAAAACAATGCCGACGCAACTGTAGAAAAATATACTTTTCTAAAACAAATCTAACTTATTTCTAACAAAATTCTTCGTTACTTAACACCCTCGTTCAGCGTTACAGTTCGCACGTTGAGCGTAGCAAATGCGGTGTAGTGCAGCGCACACAGATACTATTGGTCGCAGATATCGAGCTCCTGCTCGCCGGACAACGAAATGCACGTGTTCTGCACTATGCTGCGTTTGGTTCGCTCAACGTCGGAGCATAGCAGAG